CTGTTACGTTTGTTTTCAATGCGTAGGGCTACTCAGAAACAGCGAGAATGTTCCTACTCCGAATATTGGCGCCGTCGATAGCCCCTCCCCTCAGCCTGCGCTGAAGGATGAGGAGGAGAGTTACCACCCACCCAACCGCCCCAACCCAACCCGAATGCCCCAATTTGCCCTTCATTCCCAATGGGGGGGGCGGGGGCGTCGGGGAACATGAAACAAAAACACGTGCCGAATCCCTCCCAACCCGAAATTTGGGTTTTCGGTTTAGGTTCGGGGGGTACGTTGGGGTGGTCTGGTAGGTAGTCAGAGAGAGAGAGAGAGAGAGACAGAGAGAGAGGGGCAGAGCACAAGAACTCTCAGGTTCCCTCCTCCTCCTCCTCCTCCTACTCCTGCTGCGGGCTTGTCGGGGGGGAGAGCGAGTCCAGCGCACGCAAAGAGTTAGCAGCGGGAGCCAGGAGGGTGGGCAGCCCGCGGCGGTGGGGGCTGGGAGCGAAACCGCGACAATGTTGACAGAGCGATTGCTTGACGCACCGGCGTGGCGGAGGAGGCGGAGAAGGAGGAGGAGGAGGAGGAGGAGGACATGCCGACTTGATCACCCCGCCAAGCGAACGGTGGAACCGGCGCAGGAAGAGGAGGCAGAGGAGGCGGAGGAGGAGGGGGGAAGACGGTCTTCCTTCTCCTCCACCTCCTCCTCCTCAGCAGCATCAGTATCGTCAGCATCGTCAGCATCATTATCACCACCACCATCATCATCGTCATCAAACATTAGCATCATCAGCATCATCATATGAATCAGCATAACCATCATGTCCGTCCTCATCCTCATCCTCATCAACTTTACCATCAGCAACAGCATCATCAGCATCATCATCAGCATCATCATCGTCATCATCGTCGTCGTCACCAGAGAGAGAAAGAGAGACGCCGTGCACGTCAGAGGTGCATGGGCATGAAAAGTGGAGCTGGCATGACAACCGCCGAACGCAGTGAAACAGTGCGAGAAACAACAGAGCTCTCTCGGCATCCCCGGCTCCATGGGCACGGAGACGTCTGCAACTCTGTCCCGGCGACAGCCCGGGGGACGAGCAGGGAAACAGAGATATAGAGAGAGAGAGAGCTGGCAGGGCAACGGCCCAGGAGACGGCGGACAAGGAGGGGGCGACGACGCTACCCGTAAAGGCTCGGGGGCAACGGTAGGGAGGGGGGGGGACGGGCATAGGGGGGGATTGCGCCGACCCCCAGTCGCCCATAGGGGGCCGATAGCCCCGACCTGCCCAGGAAGGCGCGGGTTCACTATCGTCAGGAAGGAAAAAAACACAGACACAATGAATCGTCGATTCCCCAGAAAATATGGAAAATTATGGGAAGTGGGGGGGACGGCGAAAACAGAGAAACTATGGGAAAATCTGGGGAATCTGGTTATTTGTGTCTATTTATTTGTGTGTCCCAGGGCCCCTTCATGGGCCTGTCGCCGATCTATCGGCGATGTAGCGCCGATTCCAGGTCGACGCACCCCCCCCTGTGCCTATCCCTCTTATCGTTGCCCCTCAAAAGGCGGGCGGGCGGGGGAGCTGGGGCACAACTGCAACATCTTTTTATTATCATTCGCGTGAAGAAGGAACGCTTGGCGGCGGCTTGCCACCTGCCCAGCGGGCCCTGCCAGATTCCGTGCAAGGCGCCCGAATCCTCGGCAATGTTGACGGCCAGCTCGTGCACTTCACGTCTCCACGTAGTCTTCGGCCTCCCCCTTTTTCGGGGGCCGTCTACGGCGGAGAGGGCAAAATATTGTGGTCGGAACAAGCAGCGCCGAACGGGCGCGTCGTCTGGGAGAATCGCAGTGCGACCCAAGAGGCATACCTGCCTGTACGCAAGTGTGGTGCTGAGCCTACGAAAGCAGCATGCCTGCAAAACGGCTGCATGGCTGACTCCGGCTGCAACATGAACGGCCGATGCCAGAGCATACGCAGGCGCCGTGCTTGGAACGCAGCTGGCCTGCTGCACTCAGACACGCCGGGCCACATGGTGTGGAGGCAATACTTTCGTTTTGCGGCGACGCGTGCTCCAAGTATTGCAACTTCGAGGAGGAGGAGGAGGAGGAGGGGGAGGAGGAGGAGGAGGAGGGGGAGGAGGAGGAGGAAGAGGGGGAGGAGGAGGAGGAGGAAGGAGGAGGAGGAGGAGGAGGAGGAGGAGGAGGAGGAGGAGGAGGAGGAGGAGGGAGGAGGGAGGAGGAAGGAGGAGGAGGAGGAGGAGCAGGAGCAGGTTTCCAGGTTCGACCTACGGCGCGAGAGTGTCTTCGATGCCGTGCCAGGCCGCCTGCTCGGCGCTGCGCTGCTGGAGCCCGAGGCGTCCGGGAGGCCTCCGAGCTACACCGGGCTGTCTTTCTGCGGGCTCGGCCCGACATCGGCCAGGAGGGAAAGAAACACACAGGCACAATGAACCGTCGATTCCCAGGAAAATATGGGGAAATATTCCCACAGTGAATCCCACGATTAATCGTCGGTTCCCAATTGAGCGTCGATTCCCAGGAAAAGAGTGGGAGACTATGGGAAGTGGGGGGGGAACACGAAAAGCCGGAAAAGATGGGGAGTCCTGTGATATTTGCGTGTACTTATTTGCGTGTCCCAGGGCCCCTTCAATCGGGTCTGCGGACGCCCGCGCTGCGTCGCACGGGCAGTGTTTCCAGTTTGTCCCCGGCGAAAAGCCAGACCGCGATGCTCGCCAGTCTCGCGTATCGCCTGCATCAGGGCACCGACGAAACCAGTAGCCGACCCAACCAGCAGCGTGCCGTCTGCGTAGATGAGCTCGCCGACGGGGCAGCGACGCCCCTGCTCTGGAAGGCGCGCTTTGCGTCGTGCGTCAGAACGGTCATGACGATCGAGAAGAAGAATGGCGAAAGCGGGCATCCTTGTGAGATTCACAACTCCTGCGGGCGCGGGTCCGACATGGCCCCGGCATCGCGAACGCGGGAGGATCGGTCTGTGCAAATCGCCCGCACGTTTTCGGCGAAGCAGCCAGGGGCGCTGAATCTCAGGAGCGTTTGCACCAGGGCGTCCGGCGACACGCTGTCGAACGCTTAGCCCTGTCCAAGGCAAAGAAGACGAGCTTGCCCGATTGCGTGTCCCAGGTGTCTTCGATAAATGTCCTGGTCATGAACAAGGCTTCATACGTTCCGCAACCAGATCCGCAACCAGATCGGAATCCAATGTGCGTATTCCAGATCCGAGATTCCGCGCCAGCACGTTTCTGTCTCTTGGGCAACAGAGAGGCGTTGAGCTCGTAGCCGATGGGCAATAGCGAACTTGGGCGCTAGTTAGCACACAGCGCCGAGTCTCCGTTCTTAGATACAGTCGGGGCCCTGAAGAAGGAACCCTTTTTGGTTGTGGAGGGGCTCCGCGTTCCTTAAGTGTTTCACAGCTTGCCTCAGGTTTCCCTTAGATTTTCGATGGGGAAGTCGAAGGTTAACTTGTGGAAAAAAGGGGCCTCGTTCCTTATTTTGGGCTCCTTAGGTCAAGGCCCCGACGGTATGGCCGTTGCAACAGCTTGGTGCGCCGCGCCTGGAGCAGACTTTTCCGTCCAGCGCGGGGCTCTCACAGCGGGGTCGCCCGCTCGCACTCCGGCGTGCCCGTCCTGCAGAGTTCCTGCCAGAACTCGACAGGGACCCGAGGAGGAGGAGGAGGAGGAGGAGGAGGAGGAGGAGGAGGAGGAGGAGGCAGGAGGAGGAGGCAGGAGGAGGAGGAGGAGGAGGAGGCCGTCCTCGCCGACAGTTCGGTTGCGCTTGAATTCTCTAGCCGTTCGGCAGACTTTCCGGCGTGCCTGTCCTGCAGGGTTCAGGAGGAAAGGAACACACAGACACAATCAATCCTCGATTCCCCAGAAAATATGGGAAAACATGGGAAGTAGGGGGGGGAAGACAAAAACCCAGAAGATGTGGAAAATAGGGGGGATCTTTTTACTTGTGTGTATCTATTTCTGTGTCCCAGGTCCCCTTCAAGGGTGCCTTCCAGAACTCGGCAGGGACCCCGTCCTCGCCGACGGTTCGGTTGCGCTTGAATCCTTTGTAGCCGCTCGGCAGACTTTCCGACTGGGTGATGGGGCCGCAGGGGGCGTCGGGCTGAGGGCCCCAGTTGGCCACATTATCCGTTAGCATTACAATATCGTCGTCATCAGCATCAGCTCGCGGGCGATGTTTCTCCCCCAATCCCCGAGTTTCGCCCGAAAAGTCTGGCCGCTCAGAAGAATGGGAAAACCCTGGGATACACCCCAAGGGGGCTATTCGGACGCACCCCTATCGAGGATGCGCACCCCCCTATCGTACATCCCAGGGTTAGGCCCCAAATTTCTGGTCCATTCGGAAACCCCACGAAGCCTGGGATAGGGGTCGACATATCCCCTGTTATCAGCCTTACATTGTCCGTTGGCACAGGTGGACGTCGTCATCAGCAGGAACAGTTGCATTAGCATTTCGAAATCACCATCATCATCATCATCATCATCATCATCATCATCATCATCATCATCATCATCATCATCAGCATCATCATCATCATCGTCATCATCATCATCGTCATCGTCATCGTCATCGTCATCATCATCATCGTCGTCATCATCACCATCATCATCACAGTCTCATCCTGTTCATCGTCATTGTTTTTGTCGTTGTCATTGTCACCGTCACGATAAACCCCACCACCATTATTGGCATCGTCAGCATCAGCAGCACCATTAGCATCATGATCATCAGCATAATCCTCATCAGCATCATCCTCATCAGCATCATCTTCAGCATCATCATCAGCATCATCATCGTTATCATCATCAGCATCATCATCATCGTCCATATCCTCCTACTTCTCCCTCATCTCTTCCTGTGGCGAAGTGGGCGGAGAGAGCCAGGGGGGAGATTGTTGTTTTTCTTCTCCTCATGCTTCTGCTTTCTCCTCCTCTTGATCCTCCTCCTCCGCATCCTCCCTCTTGCTGCGGCTTCCCTTCGTCCTGAGACAGAGGTCGCCGAGCCAGAGATTCCGGTACTTCGATCTGAAGAAGAACACCGGACGGTACGATTTTAAGCAGCCGCTCCGGGAGGAGCAAATGTGCCTGAGGGATTTCCTCGCCGAGAGCAGATTTATTCTGGAGGAGGGCCGCGCCGAGAGGATGTACCTACAGGACGACAGTGTTTATATTTTACGAGGGCGAGGATGAGGACGGCGACCACTTAATCATTGACAGCGCCGACGACATTGGCGACATTGACGACGATGATCCCCGAAGCTTTCCTGGGGCATGATCTGACAGTGCCTTCGAGGCGGACCCAGCCGTAGCGACGAGAGCGCCCCTCGGGAGGCTTAACACTGCCCGAAAACGCCCCAGAGCCCAAAGCTTCGATCCTTCAACCTCGATCCTCGATGCTCGATCGATCGACGGCACCACCCAGATCGTCGAGATGCCCCAGGAGTGCGCCGGGCCCTGGACGGGCCCTGGTCGACTACACGTCAGAGTCCCTCCGCCGGATTGGCGTAAGTCGGGCCTGTCCCTCTACAGGGGGAATATTCAAAAATGGGAAACATTGTCTGGGGACTATCTTGTTTCATATTTTTGTTGTTTTTATTTTTCGTCGAAAATCCCCCTGTAGGTGGACAGGCCCGACTTACGGATTGGCCCCCGGTGCAGGCCCACAGCGGCGCCCCGAGCGCCGATCGCGCGGCAGCGCCTCGGGCCGATGGCCCCGCGGTGCCGAGGCGACCCGCCCCGCGGCCCGCCCGCGGCCCGCCCGCGGCCCACGCCGCGACCCGCCCGCAGGTGGCCACTCGTGCCCAGAGGGCGCCCTATGCTGTCTTGGGAGGGCCTCCGTTCGGTCGATGCCAGATTGGGATGCTCGATCCTCCTCCTCCTCCTCCTCCTCTTCCATCTTCTCCTCCTCCTCCTCCTCCTCCTCCTCCTCGCCCTCCTCCCCATCCCCCTCCACAATTACACAATATGAAAATACTCTCCCACTTCCCCTGATGGCGTCCCGAAGATATCCGACACCCCCCGCGTACTGTTTTTTACACACAGGATTCCCGGGAAACGGGTTTTCGCTTGCGTTTTTTTCAAAATGCTGCTCTCGCTGAGGCGCCGGCCTCATTTCTGCTCCCGAATCGTTCCGAATCGTGCTCCCGCTGCAGCGTGGGCCTCATTTTCGGATCGGTGTTTGGCCTCCGTCGTTCAGGATGGCGTTCTCGCCCCAGCGCGGGCCTCTTTCTCGCGCGCCCATCCGCCCGCCACCACCGCGCCGCACCACCACCACCACCACCACCACCACCACCACCACCACCACCACCACCACCACCACCACCACCACCACACACCACACCAGCACCACACCACACCAGCACCACACCACACCACCACACCACACCACACCACCACACCACACACCACCACCACACACGCACACACGCACGCACGCACGCACGCGCACCACCACCCACTACGCACGCGCGCGCGGAGCCACAGGTCCGCTACGACACGCGTCCGCGGATAGAGAAAATCAGCGCCATGGTAAGGGATGGGAGGGAGGGGTAGGACGTCAGATATGACGCGAGCGCACCTAGCTTGTCCCCATCCCCCTCCTCCTCCCCCTCCTCCTCCCCCTCCTCCTCCTCCTCCTCCTCCTCCTCCTCCTCCTCCTCCTCCTCCATCTCCTCCTCCTCCATCTCGTCGAGCTGTCTGGCGCAGGCGAGCGCTTGCGGGTCCTCTCTTCAGAACGGCAAGGGATCCGCGGGTCAAATTTTGGCTTCTATCTTTTCACTTCCATCATTCCAGTCAGACTGATGTCCCATGGCCCTTACAAGGGCGGCGGCGGCGGCGGAGGAGGTTCTCCCCCTTGGCGCGGCGGCGGCTCAAAGGGCTGGCAGCGGCAGGACTGGAACTACGACTACGGAGGCGCCCAGTGGCTGGCTGGCAAAGGATACGGCGCGTCTGGCAGGAGCGACTGCTGGAAATGCGTTGCATGCGGGTGCGGCAAGACCACTGTCTGGGCGTCGCACTGCAAGCACTGCGGTGCTCTGAGGCAAGCCCCTTCGACCAGCCAGCCTGCTCCTCCTCGCGGCGTTTGGTCTCATCAGCAGGGTCTTCCTCGTGCTCCTGGGTATCACCCCCCAGGGGAGTGGGCTGCCCTCCCGCCTGGGCCGCAGCTTGGAGGAGCGGCGCAGGGCACGGGCAGCAGTGGCCGTGGACAGGACGCCCCGCTGGACGCAAAGGGGCTCCAGATGCTGGTCGCCCTGGCGCGCCGCGCAGGTGACCAGACGACCGCGGCCAGGTACCAAGGCCAGCTGGACTCCATGGCGGCAGCCGCGAAGCCCCCGCCCAAGGCCCTGCAGGACCAAGTCAGCGACCTGCACCACCGCATCAAGACGCTCGACGGCAGGCTGGAGTCCGAGCTGGCGAAACTTGCGAGGTGGCAGGACGGCATCAGGGCGCAAGAGGTGCTCATTCACGACCTCTCGAAGCAGTCCGAGGCCATGGTCACAGAACATCGGCAACTGGTTGCACAGCTTCACAGTGCAGTTGTTCCTCCCTCGGCCGACGCTGAGGTCGCGTCTGGGCCCACTCTGTCACTCCGTGACCTCGTGGACGGGAGGGTCCCCAACATCGTCATCGACGACGGGGGCCTCTTCTCGGTCGACGCTGAGGGCATGGGGGCTTCGGATCTTCAAGAGGTGGAGCGACGTCGGGCCGACTTCAAGGAGCACGTCGGCAAGGCAGCCAAGGCCCTATTCGCCGAAGCATTGGAGCGCGCGGCAGTCGCCAAGGCCGAGCACGACGGCTACTTCAAGCGCATGGCCACAAAGCGCAGGAAGGGCTGCGACGGAGCCGTGTCGGCTGGGGGCGGAGTTCGTGAAGGAGGCGCCGAAGAAGCTGGGTCGCATCCTGGCGGTGCCTCAGGCAGCGGCGGTGCCGCGGCCAGCGACGTCAGCAAGCCAGCCGCCTCAGTCAGTCGAGTTCGAGAACATGCAGCACGAGTTGCGGAGCGAGTTCAGCAGCAGCAGGCGACTTCTGAGGGCAGCGGCTCTAGCGAGCGGCCCAGTGAGCAGCAACATCTTAGCCCCACTGACGGTCAACAGGCCTGAAGGGGGGGATTCCGCTTTTCTACGCCTGCAACACCTGACAGGTGTACCAGTTCAGTCTTCTCGGAGGGAGGTCGACAGCGCATGCAGGCTGTCAGGGCCCCTCCTCCTCGTGCCCAACTTATTCCTGTTTTGCCTCGAAATACTAGTCCCTACGCGCGAGCTAGGGATGCTGCCTCCTCGGAGCCAGGGCACCCTGGCACCGTTTTTGGAGGTCCCTTTTTGCCCCCGCCACCCCCAGGCCATCAGTCGTTCCGTCTGAGGGTCGCGTCGGTCAACGGCAACGCCTGGGGGTCGGTGAAGGAGTGGCTGCCTAGTATCGACGCTGAAGTTATTCTAGTCCAAGAACACAAGCTTTTGACGCAGGAGGCTTTGGATAGAGCTTCCTCTGTTTGTCCCGGCCTCGGTTTCAAATCGCTTTGGATCCCTGGCACGACTGGGCCCGAAGGCGGCCCTTCTGCGGGAGTCTCTATCCTGTGTAGCGCCAACCTTGGGCTTCATAGGGCGCCCTCGGGGCTCGAGCTGGCCCCCCACAGGGCCATCGCGGCCCTAGTGCATGCGCCCCAAGGGGACGTGTTTCAAGTTTGTTCTGTGTATATGCGTGACTCGGAAGGGCTTTCGGAATCCAACCTCGAGATACTGTCGGCGATAGGGGCGGAAGGGTCCACCTGCGGGAAACCATTTCTTGTCGGGGGAGACTGGAACATGGAGCCATCCGAACTCGCCAAGTCCTTTTTCGTGAGCACCCTGGTTGGTCAAGTCATCGACCCCAGCAAGCCTACCTGTCACGCTGGAGCGGGCAAAGTCTACGACTACTTCGTTGTGTATTCTGGGCTTTCCAAGGGAGCCGCTGAAGTCCGTGTTATCGAGGACGCTGGTTTCTTTCCGCACAGCCCAGTCTGTCTCGAGTTCCACGCTGGACTAGCCCAGATGCATTACCTCACGTTCAGGCGCCCGCCACCTCTCCCATCGGAAGTACCCTTCGGACCACAGCCCGAGCCGATGGACTATAAGCGCGTGCACGCCCAGCTGGATGCAGCGTTCATACGAGCCAAGAGAGGGGACGATGGGGTTTTGACTGCTCGCCTATTTCGTGAAGCTTACGCGTCTTGGGCGGGACTTGCTGAACAGGAACTTTCCAGGACGTTCGGGGTTCAACTTCCTGTCTTGGGGTCTAGGGGCATGGGGCCCAGGGCCCGTTGGCGGCCGATCCTTTGTAAAGATCATGGGCGTGTGCGGTGCCCCCAGCTCCACGCCTGCCGCTGGCTCGCCTCGAAGTTCAAACGTCTGTTTATGTGTGTGCAGAGAGGGGACTGGCCTCAGGCTCGGGATGCGGGGTGCGTTCTTTCGTCTCCCCCCCCCCCCAAGCTTGTGTAGGCCCGACAGCTTGTTCCCTGGATCGAAGCTATTTACGATCGTGTTTCCTCTGTGATTTTGGACCTCAAGGTTTTGGAGGACCCTCATGAAGGGCCGGGCTCTGATCCTAGCTTCTTGGAGGCTCTGGAGGTTTTGACAGCCCAAGTCGAAGAGGTCTCTACCCAGGTTACCGACTTTGCAACACAATGTAGCGCCTTCTACGCCACCAAGGCCAGACGCGACTGGGCGGACAGGCTCACCGAGAATGTCGATCGGGGTGGACGTAGGGCGCACGGCTACACTAAAGATCTTCAAAGATGGTCTCCATCCACTACGCTTAGTGCTGGGGGCTGCGCGGTGTCGGACCCGCAGGCGCCCCTGGCCGCCGAAGCTCATCGTTTTCGCCAGTTGTGGGAAGGGCTCCCTGTACCTCAGAAAAGGCCAGGGGAAGTTAATGCTCCCCTCCCCCCCATCTCGGTGGACATTATTCGCAGGGTTTCTCGCACTTTTGCCCATAGGTCCGCCACGGGCCTGGGTGGGTTTCATTTGAGACACTTTTCGGTGATGTCCGACGGGGCTTTGTGGGCCCTCTCGCGGTTATTTACGTCGATGGAACTCACGGGCACCCTTCCCCCGCAGCTGGAGGCCGTTATCGTTGCTATGCTGCCGAAGCCCTCCACTGGTTTCCGCCCCATCGGGGTTTTCCCCCGCCTGCACAGATTGCGGGGGAGATGCAGGAGAGATTATGCGGTTGAGTGGGAGGGGAAACACCAGAGAGAGTACTGGGCGGCGGGGAAATTCAAGTCCGCTTGTGATGTTGTTTGGAGGCAAAGTGCCCGTTCTGAGTCTTCGCGTGCCTGCGGGCAGGAGGCCTGTACTCTCCTCTGGGATTTTGTTAAACATTACGAGCGCAGCCCTCTCGATCTCCTGGCTCTTCGATGCAGGCAGCACGGCCTCCCTGATGCACTCGCCGATGTGCGCATGGCGGGATGCCGTTCTGTCCGCTTCCTGGTGCTTGCTGGAGTGGTTGCGCCTCCTACTTACGCGAGAGTTGGAATCATAGTTGGCTGCAGTTTTGCTGCCACTATGATCAGGATTTTTGCCTTGCGTGGATTCGACCAGCTGGAGGTTCCCAAGGGGATCACGTTCGACGCTTACATCGATGACCTCGGGATCAATGCGATAGGGACCACCAGACACATTATGATAGAACTCCCGGAAGCGGCGAAGTCCCTTGGGGAGGTCAGTGAACAGGTTCTTGTTGCGAAAGTCTCCCCCGACGAGGTCGGGCTGGTCGCGTCCTCCAAGGAAATCGCCAGGCACGTCCAGAAACGACTAGGGGTGCATGGAGGAGTCTTGACTGAGTCTTTCGTCAATTTGGGGATAGATGACGCTGCGGGCTGCGCCAGGCGAGTCCGTGGACGCAACAGCAGAGCGAAGACGCGCTTTGCGAGAGCCTCTAGGCGTGCTGGCAGGCTGGCTCGTCAAAGAGGAGTTTTAGGACCGATGGCTACCAAGCTATGCACTGCGGGACCTCTTGCGGGTGTTAATTATGGGGCGGAGGTTCACGGGATCAGTGACGGAGAACTCGTTAAAGTCAGACGCATGTGTGCCTCTCCGATGAAGCTTGCCTGCGGCGGCCGAAGTTTAACCATTCTGAGCAGGATTGAAGGAGATCCTGCTTGGTGGGGTGCTGTGGCGCCAGCCATCAGGTGGGCCAAGGAAGTCTGGGCTCGTGCCACGAGGGTCTTGGAAGTTTGTTTTTCTTGGGCCGAGCTCCGAAACATGTGGCACGATGTTTTCGGGCGTTCGTGGACCTGGAGGACCGTGAGCGGGCCCATCGGGGCCATGAAGTTGTCCTTGGCCCGCTTGGGATGGAGCATGCCCTCGCCCTTTGTTATGATTAGCGACTTGGGGGTTGAGCACTCTCTCACGCTCGCGCCTCCTTCCCTTCCTCAGGTTTTTCTCAAAGAGGGGGTTTGGCGTTCTTTGGAGAGGGGAGCGGCCGCCAAGTACGGCCCCGAAGGGGCCGATTCGTTATGTTTCGACGTCGTCATCAAAGCCCTTCGATCAAAAAAGTTTACTGCTCGCCAGAAAGGAACCATACGTTGTTGTGCCTGTCAAGGAATCTGGCCCTACGCCCGCGCTCGAGCAGCAGGTTATGAAGTCGAGGATCGTTGCCCGCTATGCCTTCAGCCTGGAGACACGATCTTTCATAGACTTTACGCGTGTTCGGCGGTGGAGGACGAGAGGAGTGCAGTGATTCCCCGCAGTGCGCTGGATCAGGTTTTGAGGCAGTTCGAAGCGGTCCCTGAGAGAGAACGGTTCCACCTCACCTCTGGCTTGTTTGGCCACCCCCAGAGTGTGCTCCCGCCCCCAAAGTCCGACAGTAGAACCGAGGAGGATGACGCTATTCAGTTTCAGTTTTTTCCTGGCGGTTTTGCTGCGGAAGGCATGGAGATGCCCCGCGACGGCCGCAGGCAGATGTGGGGCCACGTTTTCTTAGACGGGTCGTGTTCGCGACGGGTGGTCCGCAGCTCGAATCGAGCTGGTTGGGGTTTAGCGATGATGGGCCCTCAGTCGAATCTCTTAGCCTGGAGCTGGGGCCCCGTGTGGGACAGCTGCCCTCAGACTTCTCAGGCAGGAGAATTTACAGCATATGCCATGGCATGTGCGTTCCTGCCTGCACCGGCAACTTTATACTCTGATTGCCAGCATGTAGTTTCCATGCACGGCATGGCCCACCATCAGCAGATCTCACCCAAGCGTCCTTATTCGGGGCTTGTGTCTCAGGGTCTTTCTCTTGGGAAACAGTGGACGCTTGGGTGTGAGAAAGTGCCTGCACACCTTCCCATTGACGATCCCGAGATCGACGATCATGAGCGGTTTCGAAGGATAGGGAATGATTTTGCCGACAAGGCCGCCAGGATGGGAGCTGATGCGCACCAGGCGCCGTCGGAGGATGTAGCTAACGAATGCACTGCTCTTGTGAATTCGGCTCTTCTGGCGGTCAGACTGTGCGCTACTCTGTTGCCGCTGCGGCCGCGCACGGACTTGTCGCGTGCCTCGTGGTCGTCCCCAGCTCAGGCCCCCCGCTCCTCTTCCTCGCCTCATCGGTGGGAGTGGCTCGGGCCTCCTGGGGGAGACCAACGTTCTTGGATTTGTCAAGGGTGCCTCAGGACGTCGCGCAATGCCGCGGAAAAAGAGCCTGCCCCAGGACACTGTTCAGATTCTTTGAGAGTTGATGTTAGGCGGCTTAGAGATTTAAACCACAAGTGTATCCTCTTGGATTGTTCGAACGGTTCGTTTGTTGTCGTTTGTACTGTGTGCCAGAGATACACTAGTGGAGCCCGCCTTGCATCGCTCAGCAAGACGTGTCCAGGTCAGAAAGCTTCAGCTTACAACTCTGACGCTTGGAATAAGATTTGTAAGGGACTCCATCCCAAAGCGAAAAGGGGCCACCTTACTCTCTGACACGTACAGTGTGCTTTAAGCATGCAGCGAGAGCTCGAGTGCTCAAAAAAATCCTCCATCTCGTCGTCCTCCTCCTCCTCTTTCTCCTCCTCCTCCCCCTCATCCTCGCCCTCCTCCCGCTCCCCCTCCTCCCCCCCCCTCCTCCTCCTCCTCCTCCTCCTCCTCCTCCTCCTCCTCCTCCTCCTCCTCCTCCTCCTCCTCCTCCTCCTCCTCCTCCTCCTCCTCCTCCTCCTCCTCGATTCCCCGATCGGTCGACGGCGGCGAGGGCGGATGCGGCGGCGGCGGCGGCGGCGCGGACGCCCGTGGGGCCGCGGGCCGTGGGCTCGGAGGAGCTCGAGGAGCGAGGCGGGAGGAGCCCTGTGTGCGTCGGCTGGCGCCCCTCGGGGGGGATTTTGTCGGTGTTGATTGGTGTTGTGGAGGCCGGGCCTCCGCCTCCTCCTCATCCGCCTCCTCCTCCTCCTCCGCCTCCTCCTCCTCCTCCTCCTCCTCTTCCTCCTCCTCCCCCTCTTCCTCCTCCTCCTCCTCCTCCTCCTCCTCTGACTCCGACTCCGACTCCGACTCCGACTCCTCCTCTGTGGGCTTGGTTTGTGATGTTTGGGGGGGAGTTGTTTTGTTGTTGTTGTTTTTTTTTCCTGTCGAGGCGCGCATCAAGAAACCATAGGCTTTTCGTCAGGGTAGCCGGGTTGCTTCGCTCCGCGCGCCGCGCGGTGGCTTCCCGCGAAGGTGCTGCGTTCAGGGTGCTCCGGGTTTCCCCTCAGATGGAGGATATCGAGCTCGACGTTCGTCCCGTTCCATCCCATCGGTGGAGGGCGGCCGAGGAGCTCGAGGATGGCTGCCAGGGCCTCTGGCTCCGTTCCTGCCCTCGACCGATCCCGCGGCGCACGGCCGAGGAGACGCTCTCGGGGCACGCCGAGATGGCCGAGGAGTTCGCGTCGTGGCGGTGGGAGCTCCTCATCCGCGTCAGCTCGGCCTGCGGTTGCCCGGTCGGCGGCGGCGACGGCACAGGGCCGACGACAACGACGGAGACGACGACGACGACGACGACAACGACGACGACGACGACGCCGACGACGACGACACCGACGACGACGACGACGATGACGACGACGACGACGACGAATAGTTTATTGAATGACTTCGCTCATTCCGCCGGCCCATTTCGCATGACTGAGCCTCTCGGGGCCGTCGGGCCCTTAGAGCACTATCGCTTTGCTCATTCTGCCGGCCCTGGGAGCCCTCTTTAGGGCCTCTTGGGGCCTCTTGGGGACCTCTTGGGAGTCTCTTGGGGCTCCTCGGCGGCGTCTTGGGGGCCCCCAGGGCCTCTTTGGGGGGCTTTGGGGGGCCTCTTTGGGCGGGAGGGGGGGTAGTCGATTGCGGCCCCCGCCTCGGAGGCCACGATCCTCGTGAGGGGTGTCGAAAAATGGTCCTCCCCTGGAGCGCTCTGGTGGCTTCTCCCGGGACCTTGCCGGGGTACTTTTCGTCCGGGGGCCCCCAGGGGCCGCTCCGCGCGCGCGAACTAGAAATATTCTTAGCAAATTACTGGAGATCTAAGAAATCAGACCCCCCCTTAGAGCACTGAGAGTGTATTATCCCCGGCCATGTCAGATTTGGTCGCAGGAGAGGGGCGGCAAGGCCGATCTTGATTAGTCGCGGGGGCACGTCGCGAGGTGTCCTGGCGAGGAGCGCCAAGGGACCTCCAGGGCGTAGGCAAGTGTTTTGAGTGCCAGATCTCGAGGCGCCAAGCACTCCCGAGCGAGGATCTGACTAGAGAGGCGCCCAGGATCATCATCATCATCATCATCATCATCACCATCATCATCATCATCATCATCATCATCATCACCAGCAGCAGCAGCAGCAGCAGCAATTTCATCAGCAGCATCATCATCATCATCATCATCATCATCATCATCAACATCATCATCATCATCACCATCATTATCACCACCATCACAATCATCATCAACATCATCCTCATCATTATCGTCACCATCAGCATCACCATCAGCAACATCATCATTATTATCATCATCATCATCATCATCATCATCACCATCATCACCATCATCACCTTCACCAGCACCATCATCATTACCATTATCATCATCACCATTATCATGTTTATCATTCGCATTCGCATTCGCATTCGCATTCGCATCATCATCATCATCATCATCATCATCATCATCATCATCATCATCATGCTGCGATCTACAGGAAAACGTGTATTATATCCCCCCTGGACCCCGATCTGTTTTATCCCCAGGGGCTTAATATCAGGGCACATGGTTACCGTACCCATGCTGCTACCTTTGCTTCGTTTTCGCCTTGTTGGGCCTCCTGGGAGGCTGGGAGGCCCTCGTCGCCACCGCCGGGTTGGCCTCGGAATCCTGGTCAGAACGCACCCTGGGAGAGGTCCGTGGAGTGGTGGTATCGGTACCTTCTGCTTTCCCCAGACGGCAGTGACGGCGGCGCCCGCGCCAGCGACGACGCGGCGACAGCAGCGACGGCCCTGTTGCCGACGGCGACGATGCCGTTGTGGACGACGAGGACGGCACTGTGGACGTCGGGGGCCTCTGGAGCCCTGCAGAGCTCTCTGGAGTTGTGGTGTTCCAACTTGCTGCAGCCTTGACTGCCAATAAAAGTATTCCGAGCGCCCAGGAAGTACCGAAACTGGAGGGTTTTGAAGCGTCGGGCCCTGGGAGGCCATACTCGTTCGACACTGTTTCGATACTTTTTTCTGGGTGCTCGGGATTATTTCTGGGATGTGGTCCTGAAGTGCGATGGGAACAACATAACTCTGGAGGTCTCCTGAGGTCCCTGGATGTTCCCAGGGGTCGGCGAGGCATCGCTCGCACGTGTGCATGTTGTCTCTGCGAGGACCACCGCGGATCCGCTTGGATCATCTTGCGCAAATTTGAAGGGCATCCTTACAGGCAGAGGCCTCCCAAATGGGTTCTCCCTCTCCTCCTCTTCCTCCTGCTGCTCCTCCTCCTCCTGCTCCTGCTCCTCCTCCTCCTCCTCCTCCTCCTCCTCCTCCTCCTCCTCCTCCTCCTCTGCCTTGGGAATGGACGTCCGAGCGATGGCAGATGCCAGTGCTGGGCCTCGTGGGAGGGGGGCATGGTGTCGCCACGGCCTGGCAGGCCTCGGAGGAGTGGTCGATAGGCTGGGCGCAGGCGCTGGGGGGCGGGGTTCGGGGCTCAAGGGACGGGGGTACATGTCAAGCACCGGCGAGGCGTCCTGGCTTCCCTGTAGACCCCCCAATGAATGTTCTGAGAACCTCTTGTGGTTTGTACGAAATGTTCTTAGATCATTTCTGGCTACGACTGTCTTGTTTTACCACATCGGACTGAGGTTTTATGAACATTGGTTTGTATTAGAACGTTCTTGGGTCTGAGAACATGTCGTGGTAGGCCTATAGGAATGCCTGGACGACCGGTCCCTGCTCAACCATGCAAAGGGGGGTCAGTCAGAGCGCGGGATCTTGCAGGATCCCGCAGAGCTGCACCGACCCGGGCTTGGGCGCAGGATCCTGCAGGCTCCTTGCAGAGCGGGACTGACCCAGACTTCCGGATGGACCCGGGTCAGTGGGTCCCCGAGCGGGGTTCGGGGCATGCCGAGTTCGTGTCGCCGGCATCTGTTTTTTTGATGGCCTTGGGGCCCGATGTTGTAACGGGCCCCAGAGTCCGAACTCTCGCATCATAAGTTCTCTACCGTAGGTTCGTGTCGTGTCGACCGGCAGCGACCCTGGCAGCGGCGTTCAATTTTGAACGCCGTGGGCGACCCAGGATCGTTCGATGCGGAACGGTTTGGACGTTTCGGGGATGGCCGATCGTTCAAGGTGGAACGAGCCTCGCGGTCATACTTACCGTGCATCAGCTCGAGGAGGAGCCCTGAGGAGGAGGAGGAGGAGGAGGAGGAGGAGGAGGAGGAGGAGGAGCAGGGGCCTCTCAGGAACCCTCATGAGAAGGAGGAGGAGGAGGAGGAGGAGGAGGAGGAGGAGGAGGAGGAGGAGGAGGAGGAGGAGGAGGAGGAGAGGAGGAGTAAGGAGGAGGAGGAGGAGGAGGAGGAGGAGGAGGAGGAGGAGGAGGAGGAGGAGGAGGAGGAGGAGGAGGAGGAGGAGGAGGAGGAGGAGGAGGAGGAGGAGGAGGAGGAGGAGGAGGTGAGGAGGAGGAGGAGGAGGAGGAGGAGGAGGAGGAGGAGGTGCATGGACACTGCAGCGAGCGAAGTCTGCTGCGCACAGCTGGCTTCGGCGCTGCCGTCGCGCGCTGTCTCAGGCGCAGCTGCTCCGCCCGACCCCCCGGAGGCGACGATGGGCTCGGGGCGACTAGCCTTAGGATGTTCCTCCTCCTCCTCCTCCTCCTTCTCCTCCTCCTCCAGATGGTTTGTTCCACAGGGGAACACAAGGATACCGCTAGTCCGCGGCCATTGCCAGGGCTCCTCAGCCCGACAGTTTTGATCCAGTCGACGGGTCCGCCCCCGTCGACTGCTGCCTGTCGCCGCCCCGCGACTGTGCAGGCTTGGGTGCCCTCGTGCTCGCATTGGCGCCGAAGAAGGCCCAGCCTGGCTTTGTCATCTGCACGGGTTGCCGCTACAGATGGAATTTCCGCAAGAATCCGACCTGTTGGCAGTGCGGCCAATGCCTGGAGCTCCCACCTGCCAAGTTGTCCCCGCGTCAAGGTGTCTGGGCAGATGGCGGAGAGCAGAAAGGGAGCGGTGGCAAGGCCCAGCCGAAGGGAGGCAAAAAGGGCAAGGGCGGCAGCGGCGCTGAGTCTGGAGGTGGCAAAGGGGGCGCGACCTCAGGGCATGGGGCTCGCACCAGCTTCCCTGACGCGCCCTGGTCGACGGCGTCGCAGACGGAGCTCGACCAGCTGCTGGCCATCCCCGACCCCGACATCACCGCGCGGCTCCGAGAGGCGGTGGAGGCTGCGAGGGGCTACAGGCCGCCCTCGCCAGCGGCTACGGAGAGGACCCTGGAGCAGAAGCTGCAGTCGGCCACGGACCGCCGTGTCAACTTCCAGCGCCAGCTCGATGAAGCCGCCGACGCCATGGCTGCTGCGGAGGCGCAGCTGGTCGACTGCCGCGGCTGGCGCGACACATGTGCGCTCCACCTCGCCGAAGCGCAGGCAGAGGAGGCCCAGCTCCCCCGCCGTCGGGCGCAGGCGTCGGGGGTCGGAGCGCCCGCCCTGGAGGTTGACAAGCAGCTCACCTTCAATTTCGACGCCGAGTCCCTCGAGAACTTCGGCGAGTTGGAGGAGGAGGCGCAGGCGAACCTCAGGCGCCTCTGCGCGGAAGGTCACGACATCATGCGGGTGGCTCAGCAGAACTTCGAACAGCAGTGCCAGGAGCAACTGCGGCGCATCAAGCAGGAGGCCGAGGAGACGATCAAGAAGAAGCGCAAGCTCGGCGACGACGCCACTGAGGATGACCAGGCCGCACCTGCGGCCTCAGCCGAGCCGCCAGCGGCCCCCGCGACCCCGCCAGCTGGCGGGGGGTCCGCTGGGGAACAGCGGGGGCCAGCGGCTGCAGCGGCCCTGGCGGCGCCAGCAGCAGGCGATGCCGCGGCGGAGCAGATCCGTCGCAACGCGGCGAAGCTCGGCGCCTCGGCCTCTGAGTTCGCTCGCCAGCGCGCCGAGCCGAAGGCCTGCGGCCAGGCTGCTCCAGGGCCTGCTCCCGTTGCTGATGGCGCTAAGCCCCGCGGGTAGCCGCGTGGGCCCTGGGGCTCGATTAGGCGCGGGGGAAGGGGATTCAGCCCCCTACCGCCGCACTCCCGCGCCCTCACGTCCAACCAGTTCGGCCACGCCCTCTCGGTGGGTGACCTGTTGGACGGCGAGTTCGGCGACGGGCATGGCCCCTCCCAGCAGCGGTCGGCCTGGGCCGCTTCAAACTGGAGTGTGGGAGCCGCGGACGCGCGGATCGCTGCCCCCCCCCCCCCAGGTGCCCCGCTGCCACGGCCCCCGACGGGGGGTGGTCGTTGCCCGTG